TTGAGCTAAGTATTATGCTCTTTGTTATATTAGAAAAATATTTGGGTGGAACTTAGTGTGATAAACACCTGTGTGATGTTTTGAACATTTTTTGGAAAAAACATGTTTCTGAGGTAACTTAGAAGCGTGTATCTCATAGATAAGGACTTGTTTTGAACTTACTTTGGTTGAAAACACGTTTTTAAGTGCATACCTGTTTTTAAGTGCACGTTGATAGAAACTTGTCTTGCACCCTAATTGATAAGCACCTGAACTGCAGGACTGCTGTGGGTAAACAACCTGGCTATGTAACGGGGACCCAAGCCAGAGACGACTGATCGATTGGCCACCCACACTAGCTTTGTGTCCTGCTCCATGCCAAACAGCAGAAGAAGGCAAATACCCCCCATCAAGCCTGGATTCAATTCCCCGACCTGTCAGAGATGAGACTGAGTTAGGAGAGTCTTCTTAAGATCTTGGGTGGTAAAAGCTGTGGAAACCCACCAGATTTTGCCAGCCTCCAGATGGCCCCATAGCTGCCTCCAGAGGAAGCCACACTTTGGGGACCCCATTAAGCCTGTACCCGCCGCACCAGGAATTTGTGTGAATAATAAAGTGCTGCATATATTTGTGTGCCATAATTTCTCTAGCAATCTTAACTATCCTATATAATAAAGAGCCAATATGCTAATTAGACTGAACAGCAGAACAACTGTCCAGATGAAGCTGCGGCTTCAAGGGCCGGCATCCAGGGCTGGGAGGGCTGAGCTTCTTGCACCTTGCATGGATTTTGTGCTTCAGGCCTCTAGTATTAACAACATAAGGTCAGGTGATGATGCGTACCCTTGGTCCTGCTTGGCTCTTTGCTAGCTACTCTTTAATGTCTGAACACCTGCCTGATTAAGTTTATCTCAAGGGATGCCTTGGATAACACCTATATACTCTACTGGGACACTCTTGCAAGATTGAGATAACTTTACGCAATTTAAATGTTGGTAAGTGTAAGAATAGGATCTATGATTTCCACAGGAGACGTATTAGGTCTAGTAATAATTAATGTCGTTTTCTAATACTTTTTTAAATCGAATTTATTTAAACAATACAACAAAATTTTTTTAAAAAAATATATTTTCTTGATTTTGTACAGAGAGGAAGGGAGAGAGATAGAAAGCCAGAAACATCAATGAGAGAGAGTCATTGATCAGCTGCCTCTTGCACACCCCCTACTGGGGATATGCCCGCAACCAAGGTACATGCCCTTGACCAGAATCGAACCCGGGACCCTTCAGTCCCCAAGCCGAGACTCTATCCATTGAGCCAAACCGGTCTCGGATAAACAACACAACAAAATTTAATCAACAATATAGTTGCCGTTGTTTTCTACTACTTGTGCCCAACGCTCAGGAAGCATTTTAATCCCTCTGTTGTAAAATTCTTGTGATTTTGATGCAAAAAATTCGGTCAATGCATTTTTGAGGCATTCTTCATTATTAAATTTTTTTCCAAGAAGAAAGTTTTGCAAAGAACGAAACAAATGGTAATCGGAAGGGGCAATATCAGGAGAATATGCAGGTTGAGGGAGAACTTCCCATTCCAACTGGCGCAGTTTTTCAGCAGTGATTCTTGCAGTATGCGGTCGTGCGTTATCGTGGTGAAGAATTACGCCCTTCTGATTAACCAGCGCGGGTTCTTTTATCTCTTAAAGCTTGGGCTAACCTTTCCAATTGGGCACTATACACTGCACTTGTAATGGTTTGGTTAGATAGTAAAAGTTCATAATGAAGAATTCCTTTAAAATTCCACCAAACACACAACATCACTTTTTTCGCATGGAAGTCAGGTTTTGGCGTGGGCTGCGGAGCCTCATTTTTGTCCAACCATTGAGGCCGCCTTTTCAAATTAACATACAGCACCCATTTTTCATCTCCGGTAACAATTTGCTCTAAAAACGGCAAATGGTTTTGATGAGAGAGGAGCGAACTGCAAATTGTGACTCTTTGATTACGGTTGTTGTCGGCCAACTCATGAGGAACCCATTTTCCAAACTTTTGGACTTTGCCAAGTGCATGCAATTGATTGGAAATTGTTTTTGTGAACAATTTAAAGTTGTCGCAAGCTCTTGTTGGGTAATTTAAGGATTTTGCACCAAAAGAGCTTGAAGAGCTTCTTGATCAAAATTGGACACACGACCTCGACCACTCTTGTCATCTAACGAAAAATTTCCCTCGTGAAATTTCTCAAACCAACGCTGGCATTTTCTGGCGCTAACTGCATCTTGACCAAGAGCACTACAGATATTTTTTGTAGCCTCACTTGCTTTTCTTCCTAATTGGAACTCGTAAAGCATGCAGTGCCGAATATGCTCTTCATCCGCCATCTTCTTAGCCCTAGTTTTGCAACAAAAACCAAACCAAACACAAACTTTTTCAAGCAAAACTTGTTAAGTGTACTTCACACGCTCTGTAGATACCACGTGTTTGAAGGTTATGTCAATACAAGTCAATGCCAAGCAAGATTTTAAACGAATGTTTAAAAATGACATTAATTATTACTAGACCCGATAGATAAAAAACATCAAAGATGACAGAGAATCATGAACCTCTTCCTGGCTCATGGATCAATGATCAACCACTGAGTCACACCAGCAAGGAGAGCTATCTAATCTTTTAGGGGAATCTTCCCTCAGCCAGACCAGTTGGATAACAAAGTTCTTTGTTTGACAGAGTTGTAAATATCAGAAGAGAAGACTATATAAAGCCCAGCCCTTGATTAAGCTTACTCTAAGGTCCTGGATAATGTGCCCTTCCTTTGCAAGTTTCCTTCCTGGCCGACTCCTCAGGGCTGCTGTATTGATGAATTTTTGATACAAGAATGTCAAGAATTTTTATGAGTTGATTTGAGACAAACAACTGACTTGTTGAAAAGCAAGATCTCTAGTGCTCTGGAGTATGACAGTTTTGCAGTTATTTTTGGATTTGGAATTAAGGTGGGAGAAAGCAAGGAGGAAAATCATTGTGATTGGATGATAGAATAGTTTACAAAATCATGTATCCCTTAAGGATGGCTGCCCTAAGGTCTGGAAAAGATTACTTTTGGCATTTCAAAGTTGTGTTAACCAAGTTGCATAAGAACAATGAGCTTAAGGAAAAGAAAAACCTTTTACAGACCTGGGGTGGGGTGGGGTGGGGGGGTGAGGGGGATGGCTATCCACAATGACCTGCCCAGTTAGGAATTTATGATCAGATCACGCTTGGAGATTACTTTCAGTCACTGAATGTGTCAGATTTATTACATAGCTCCTTTTCCATTCACAAATCTTTTTTTTTTTTTTTTTCCTAAATCTTTATTGCTGAAAGTATTACATGTCCCCTTATTTTTCCCATTGGCCTCTTCTAGCCCCACCCCCACCTTCACCACCCTATTGTCTGTGTCCCAGATACCCATCAATGCATACCAGTTGTTTGGTTGATCTCTTTCTACGTACCCAATCCTCCCCCCTTCCCTCTGAGATTCCACAGTCTGTTCCATGCCTCTGTCTCTGTTTTGTTCATCAGTTTATTTTGCTCATTAGATTCCACACATGAGTTAAGATCATGTGATACTTGTGACAAACTCAGTTGTATGTTAGGATTGGTGAAAAGATGAAACACTTTTGGGAAATCAGACAGGCTTTATTTATGTAAAGGAGACCAGAGAAAGTCAGTGTAAACCCAGACAAGGATGCACCGCAGAGAGTTCATTAATTTTGTCCCAAATAGACTTGAAGCTTCCTGGGCATTAATCTTGCTGGGTGTTAAACCTTTCCGAAGCTGTAAAGGAGTGGGGTTTCTATCAGATTTTCTGGCAACAAAACGCCCTCTCCCTTGGGTTCATTTCTGCTTGCTGCTCCTTGTGGCTTAGGTTCTGGAAAACCTCCTATCTGCTTTGCTCTAGGTTGTGTATTAATTTATATAACTATCTCAATGATCCTATTAGGTAAGTATTAGTGTTACGCTTGTATTCCAGATGGGAAAACTGGGCAGAGACAGGTTAAATGATTTTCCCAGGGCTGTCTGTCTATAGCAGAGCCAAGAATTGAACCTCAAGGGCAAAGGAATATCCTGCTCTCCCTATGGCAAGAACTATACACCTCTGTCACTTCTCATTCTTACGTCACTCAGACAGGATCCCCTTGTTTCCTCCTATAAAAATCCTCCTATAAAAAAGGTCTAAAAAAAAAAAGAGGAAAAGAAAAATAAAGACCTATTTCCTTTTTTTTGAGGAGGTTCCTCTGCATTAATGGACGGTCTCCCTACTGCAATAGGCTAAAAACAACCAACCAACCAACCACCACAACCCCTTATGCCAGTGTTTCCCAAACTTCTCTCATGATGAGAATCACCTGGTGGAGTTGTTAAACTACAGATTCCTGAATCCCAACTAAGAAGTGCTAAACTAGAATTTTTGGAACATATAGGTAAAATTGTATACTTAAGCACAATTTTACCTATATGTTCCCGAAAATTCTAGTAGCACAATTTTACCTATATGTTCCCGAAAATTCTAGTTTAGCACTTCTTAGTTGGGATTCAGGAATCTGTATTTTTAACAACTCCACCAGGTGATTCTCATCATGAGAGAAGTTTGGGAAACACTGCCTTGGGCTAAACTTTGCCGCCCTCATAACTGTCTTACTGGTCCATAGACCGGCTGCAACAGCAGACCTAAAGAATTGGCGATTCCACAGACGGTGTTCTTTAATCTCCTTTTCACACGCCGCCGCGGACGATTCCGGAAGAGAACCCTCGCTGGCGCCGGCGACGTTTACACCACTGGAAGCAGCGCGAATGTGCTTTGCAAACTTCCGTGTGCTCCGCCGGAGGGCGGGGCCGGCAGCCGCGGCCGCGAAGCAGGGCGGCACTAGGACCGCGGAGGCGCTGGCTTTCGGGGTGGAGCCCAGCTGTTCCGGGAGCCCCAGCCTGGCTGCTGGCCCCGCCCCCGGAGGCGGGCCGAGGGGATTAAAAGCTCCGGCGCCCCGGCGGCCGGCTCGCCTCTCCTCTCACCCCGGCCGGGGTCTGAGCTGGACGGTGAGTGCGGGGCCGCGGAGCCGCCTGTACCTCGCTCACCTTCGCGCGGCTCCATCCCCGGTAGCGGGCTCCGCCGGGGGCGCAGGCGCCCGCGGGCAGGAGCCGGGCGCGCGCCCGGCCGCCCAGCGCTTTTGTTCGGAGGCCGTGACGGTGCCGCGCGGGCGGAGGGCGCTGGGCGGCTCCCGGGTGGGAGGTTCCCGGGTGGGAGGTCCCCGGCGGCTCGCGCGCCCCGTTGGGTTCCCCGCCCGGCCGCCCGCTGACCCGCGCGCGGTGCCCGCGCCGGAGCGGCTGGGGCCAGGCTCGCCTCGCGGGAGCCGAGGGCGCCGCCGCTGCGCCGTTGGAGGTCGCCGGCAGCTGCCGCGGGGGCGCATTTCGTTCTAGGCGGGGAGGTGTAGGAGCAGCTTCTGATTTTCGTGATTTCCTGCAGCTGCGGTGGGGGAAACCAATCTTTGTGGTGCGGCTTCGTAGGTTTGGACCGTTCCCTCCCGCCCTACCCCCTCGGGAGGTTGTTCCTCCCCAAACCAAGGAGCCGCCCGCGGACGCGCAGCTGCCGGGGATGTTGGGGATGTTGGCGGTTCCCGGCAGGAGGTCGCTTCTGGAGGCATCCTCCAGGGCGCGAGTGCACCCCGGGCTCAGGGAGGAGGCGTTCTCGGGGGACGCGGACTCCCTCGGCACCAGCCCCGAGGGTCCTGCGCTCAGTAGCTTCAAGTGAAAACCATTTGTGTGTTTAAATGCTTGCAGTGCCCGTCTGCGCGGTGAAGAGCAGGTGATGCTGCAGGAGCGTCGAGTGCATCTTCATTGGCCCGGGGTTGCAGACCTGAACGTGCGCTGTAAGTTTTAAGTTGTATTCAGTACTCACACATGCACGAGTGTTTAGGTTTCAGTTACTCAGGGGTGTGTGTGTTTTGTGTTTTGTTTTTTTTTCTCTCCTTGTACCGTTGGGCTCTTGTACTAATCTAATGAAATTAAGGTAAGGAACTTAAAAAAAAATATCACTCGAGGATATGTTTTTATTGATTTTTAGAGAGAGTGAGACATCTGCCGAAACTGGTTTGGCTCAGTTGGATAGAGCGTCGGCCTGAGGACTGAAAGGTCCCAGGTTCGATTCCGGACAAAGGCACGTACATTGGTTGCGGGCACATCCCCAGTGGGGTTGTGCAGAAGGCAACTGATGGACGCTTCTCTCTCATCGGTGTTTCTAACTCTGTCCCTCCCCCTTTCTCTCTGTAAAAAAGTCAATAAAATATATTAAAACAACAACAACAAAAAATAAGTGAGGGAGTGAGACATCAATGTATATGTGACATCCTTTGGTTGCCTCACTTACCCCAAACGGAATGGAACCCATAAATGTGCCTTGACCAGGAAGGAACCCAGAACCTTTCTTTGGTGTAATGGAGGACACACCAGCTAACTAAGCCACCTGGCCAGAGTACTTTTGTTTGGGAATAAAAGGATAGTAGTAGACCTGGCGGAAAGGTACATGAATTCTAACTTGAATGGTGAACGGCAATTTAGGCCAGACTTAGTATGTTTTTGTGTGTGTGTGTGTGTTTAAAAAATACATTTTTATTGGTTTTTCAGAAACGAGGGATAGGAAGGGAGATTCAGAAACATCAGATGAGAATCAGTTATCCTTTCATGGGTCTATGCTCAACCACTGAGTCATACCTGTGGGGCCTGACCTATTTTTTTTCTTTGCACACTTCTAAATTCAAAGAAATTAGTATGCTTTTCATGCAACCTTAAATAACAGCTTTCCCCAGCAGTGTCATCAAGTGAGCAGATTACCATGTATTTTTATTATAAATGTAATATAAGTAAAGGTGATATATAAGTTTTATATTAAGTAATTATATAGTAGTTTCTTCATGTCCCAGGATCAAAGAAGTAAACTTTGTGGAGGGACACTGACATGTTTGCAGAGAAATTGGAACACATACAATAATGAAAAAGGTACATTTAAAGGTAAGTATGCCACTTTTAGAAAGCCTAATATATCTGCTATGGGACATAATTAAGTGAATCTGCATTGGCTAAAAATTAAACTACAGTACACAATGGATTTGATGACAAAACTTAGAAATAATGTTAGCTTAGGATGGAGGGTAATTCATCTTGGCAAGATATGGAAGAGATGCTTTTCCCCCCAATATATATATATATATTTTACGTTGTTTTTTTTTTTTTTTTACAAAAGTTTTAAAAAAAATATTTCTATTGATTTTGTACAGAGAGGAAGGGAAAGAGATAAGAGTTAGAAACATCGATGATAGAGTCATCGAGCAGCTGCCTCTTGCACACCCCCTACTGGGGATATACCTGCAACCAAGGTACATGCCCTTGACTGGAATCGAACCTGGGACCTTTCAGTCCCCAAGCCGACGCTCTATCCATTGAGCCAAACCGGTATCGGGCCAATATATATTTTTATTGATTTCAGAGAGGATTGGGAGAGTGAGATCGAGACAAGATTAAGAAAGATCAATGTTCGGAATCATTGATCTGGCTGCCTCTGCACACCCCCCACTGGGGATTCAGCCTGCAACTCAGGTATGTGCCTTGATCTCCTGATTCATAAGTCCATGCCCAGCTTCTTGTTCAAATTTTTATCTTTTTTTCTTCATCTTAAAGAAGACCCTTCCAACAGTTCATGTAATACTTCTTGTTTGTGAAGTTCCTTATCTGACTTGAAATTCTAAATGATAGCTTTGCTGGTTATAGTTAATCTTGCTGCTTGCTTCTAGGTCCTTGCTATTCATCACTGAATAGTTTTGTTTTTTTTTTTAAATGATTTTATATATATATATTTTATTGATTTTGTACAGTACAGAGAGGAAGGGAGAGAGATAGAGAGTTAGAAACATTGATGAGAGTCATAAATCAGCTGCCTCTTGCACACCCCCTACTGGGGATATGCCCACAACCAAGGTACATGCCCCTAACCGGAATCGAACCCGGGACCTTTCAGGCCCCAAGCGACGCTCTATCCATTGAGCTAAACCGGTTTCGGTGACTGACATTCCCCTCTGGCCTGCAAAGTTACTGTTGAGAAATCAGCTGGCAGTCATGTGGGCCCTCAACTGTAGGTAACTAAGCTCCCTTGCCTTTTTTTTTTTTTTTAATGTATTTTTATTTATTTCAAAGAGGAAGGAAGGAGAGAGAGAGCACATTAATGATGATGAGAGAAAGTCATTCATCGGCTGCCTTCCAGCATGCCCCCTCGTGGGGATCAAACCTGAAACTCGGGTATGTGCTCTTGACCAGAATCAAACCTGGGACCCACCCTACATTCCCAAGGCTGATGCTATATCATTGAGCCAATCTGGCCTGGTCTCCTTGCTGTTTGAAGATTCTTTGTATTAAGCCTTTGGCATTTTAATTTCGATGTGTTTACTTCTTTGATCGTGGGAATCTTATTTGGTTGCTTTTATTATTTCTGGCAAATGGTGTTGAACACCAGCCCAACTTTGGGTGAGCCATTCCCCGAGATACCAACCAATAAAGCCAGAGAGATTATCTCCTGGGGTTTCATCCTATAAAACGCAAGAGGGATGACTAAGACCACAGTGTTTGCAATCATACTGCTGAGCTTCAGATCTTGGCTCTATTCTTTTACTCTCAGTACAATCTTGGGACGATAATTAACTTCTTTGTCTTTGTCTCGGTTAACAGTAGCTACCTCTTGGATTGTTGTGTCACGACCTGTTCCAAATGCACTGTATTATAACACAGCTCCTGACACATGGTAATAGCTTAATAAATTTTAGGTGTTGTGTTAGAATACATTTTATGACCTAAGACAATATACTAGATGTATAAAATTCAGTTTACAAATAAAGCTCTACATGAACTTAACCAGCTTTGTAAGAAGTTTTCACCATAGATCCTATTGTAGGTTCTGTTTTTATAAAGAAGTACCAGATGCAACTCTAGTTTTTATCTGCAGGCTTTTTTGAAATCATGAATTCCTCCACAAAATTTTCCACGCAGGACAAATTTTCTCCAAACTTTTACTTAAAACTTTTTTAAAATTGATTTTTTTACAGAGAGGAAGGGAGAGGGATAGAGAGCTAGAAACATTGATGAGAGAAAAATCGATCAGTTGCCTCCTGCACAGCCCCCCACCGATTTTGGCCAAAATTTTACTCTATATTTTCTGTATTCCCTGAAGAGCTGGAGGCTCCCATCTCATTATTACGGACACAATAGTAACAAATGTTTAGAGAATTGATCTAACCTATTTTAAAAAATATATATATTTTATTGATTTTTTAAAAAAAAAATTTTTATTGATTTTTTTTTTACAGAGAGGGAGAGGGATAGAGAGAAACATCGACCAGCTGCCTCTTGCACACACCCCACCGGGGATATGCCCGCAACCAAGGTACATGCCCTTGGCCGGAATCAAACCCGGGACCTTTCAGTCTACAGGCCGACACTCTATCCACTGAGCCAAACCGGTTTCGGCTAACCTATTATTTTAAAAGGCTTTTATAAAGGTGAATTTCAAGACTTTTTTTTGTCTATCTAGGTTTTTCCTAGACCCCTCATCCCCCACTGGAGGCAAACTGTGTGAAAGAGACATAGAAAACATTTAATATGAGCTAGAGACAATAGTTTACCAACCCTGTTTATAGAAATGCAAGTTAAAATTTACTTTGTTCCTTGCCTGTGTGGCTCAGTGGTTGTCATGGGTTTGATTTCAGGTCAGGGCACATGTTCAGGTTACTGGCTTGATCCCCAGTGGGAGGTACCCAATCAAGGATTCTCATTGATGTTTCTATCCCTTTCTTCCTCTTCTTTTCAGAAATCAATAAAACACATTACAAAAGTTTTAAAACATTTACTTTGTAATAAGCCTTGTAAAGAAGGAATTATGTGGACCTTAAAGAATTCTAAATGTTTTGTTGGGAGGTAGCTGTGCAACTGTTTAATAATATCCTAAGAGTGCTTGTAAATTGAAAAGCAAGTGAGACATTTGTTAATAGTTAATGATTTCAGAGATTTAATGAGTCACTATGGTTCTCAAATTGCAATACTTTATTTGCAAATAAATTCTTTTAACGTGGTTAAAGTAGCAAACTGTTATAAGGAATTATTGTACTCTTAAAGTTTAAGAGATAGAAATCATCAGTAGATTACTGTTTGTTTTTTAAGCCCAAAAAGAAAATTTATTGGATCACATAAAGGGTATATAATTTGACCTTCAGGTATGGCTTGATCCTGCGTCTCTGAATTGAGCTTGGCTTCAGCATTGACTTCATTCTCAGGTACAATTCCCTTCATTGTGTGGTCCCAGTATCTCTAGGTATTTATCTGTTAATTGGTGTCCAAACCTATAGAAAAATTTTATAAGTTTATTTGAGCCTAACTGAGGACATGCATGGAAGCAAGACCTCAACAGACTAAGAAAATGCTCTGGAGAATGTTAATTATGCATTTGCTTTTATGCATTTGTAATCAACAAAGAAAAAGATTTACATGAAATTAATTGGCTGTTGATTACAGAGGCTGGAGGAAGTCAAGGGTGGAGAATCACTGAATAAAAAGTAAAATGGAGAGATGGATACATTGCTGGATATTAACATTTTACAATAAATAGGGATGGTATACAGGCAACAAGATCTTGTGCTCTCTTCAGGTTTGTACCTCAGGCCGGGGACTGGCAAAACTCCAGTATTTCAAAGGTTTGTTGCCCTAGTGCACAAGAACAGTGGACGGCGGCTTGCTTAAGGGAAAGATACACCTTTTACTGAGGAAGTCTTAGGCCTGTGGTAACTACCCACCATGGCCTGCCCAGTTAGAAATTTTTTTTAAATTTTTTAAATTTAGTTTTGTTGTTGAAAGTACTCTGTCCTCTTTCTCCCTCCATTAACCCCGTTCCCTTCCACCCCCCCATCCCCCCCATTCCCCCGGTCGTCTTTGAACTGTTGTCTGTCCATAGGCTATCCATATAGTGGTTAGGAATTATGATGATTAGCCTGTGACACAGGTTATTTTGGTCACTGAGCTTGTTAGGTTTACTACCTGCTTTTGTTCACCTATCTAACCAGTTTCAACTTGTACTGATCATGCCCATTGACTGCTTGCTCCACCAAAAATTCAAATTCCATTAGCTCTTATTGGGTCATGTGTATGTATTGCTAGTAACAGGAAAATGCTGTGTGTGTATTTTTGTTTTTGTAAAGTAGCTTAGAGATAATTCATATACCGCATTCATATTATTCAGTTAGCCCATTTACAGTGTACAGTGGTTTTAAGTATATTCACATACATGAGTATCATACAGATGAAATCATGTGGTCTTTTGTTCTCTGATCTAGAACAGTATTTTCAAGGTTTATCCATGTTGACACATATGTACATTCCTTTTTATTGCTAAAAAATGCTATATTGTGTAGATATGCCAAAATTTGTTCTTATCCTTTCATGTTCATAAACATTGTGTTTATATATTTTGGCTACCATGAGTAATGCTGCTGTGAGAATTAAAGTACATGTGTTAGTATAGACTAGTGGTTCTCAACCCCTTTGGGGGTCTACCAGCCCTTTTACAGGGGTCGCCTAAGTCTTCCTGCATATCAGATATTTACATTACGATTCATAACAGTAGCAAAATTAGTTATGAAGTAGTAACAAAAATTTCGTGGTTGGGGGGGTCACCAGAACATGAGGAACTGTATTAAAGGGTCGCAGCATTAGGAAGGTTGAGAACCACTGGTATTTTTGGGCCTTGCTCTGTCACATGGTAACATTTGAAAGTTTTTATTTTCAAATAAAATATATATATGTGGAGAGCAGCTACAGCATTTGGACAGGATCAAGCCTTGGACTGACGAGAGGGCAAGGTCTTCTTGCAGTAAAGCCACATACAAGTCCCAGCTTAGAGGGCAGAGCCCTCCCAGCATACTTATAGCCAAAGGCTATGGTTGTATGTAAGCTTGACCTTATAGTCCCACCTTGTAGTCCTAGGTAGCTGAGGGATGTGGGCTGTGGGAGGCGCAGCAAGTGCTGCCAAAACAAAGCTTGATAAAGAGTTCAGAGAATTGCAACATGAAAGAAGCAGATTTGAAACTGCAAAGAACATTGTAGAAGTCTTGACCACTCCCTTGTGATCCACTTGGCCCCAACTATATTCTCTTGTTTTCTTTAATTCTTCAGTGCCCCATCTCAGGTTCCCCATTAGGCATGCGGGATGAGGTTCGATATGAACGTTTTTAGTTTTTAGTAAATCTCCGAAGGATAATTTTTCCATTTGACCTTTTGAGAAACTGTCAGACTGTTACTCAAAGGAGGTGAGCCACTTCTGTTCTCAGCATGAGTTCCATCCAGTTTGCCCACATCCGTATCAACACTTGTGTCTTTAATTATAGCCATCATAGTGACCAAGAAATGGTACCCCATTGTGGCTTTTTATTGTATTTTCCTGATGATAAGTGACAATCATCTTATTAGTTACTTGTGTATCTGTTTTTGGAGAAAGTGACTATCCAAAACCTTTATAGACTTTATGTTAAAATACGTTTTTATTGATTTCACAGAGGAAAGGAGAGGGAGAAATAGAAACATCAATGATGAGAATCACATATTGGCTGCCTTCTGCACGCCCCTACTGAGGATCTAGCCCAAAACCTGGGCATGTACCCTGACCTTGAACTGTTGTGACCTTATTTCATGGGTCCACAGACATGGTTTGAAGAGCCACACCTGTGGGGCAAAACTTTCCTGGACTTAAAAATTTGAGTTGTCTTTGTGTTGTTGAATTGTAAGAATTTATATTCTGAATTCTAGTTTCTTCTGGTGACCATAAATGTGAAGTTTTTATTTGGTTTCTATTCCATTTATTAATGTCTCTTCTATGTCAGAACCTGTATAGTTTTGTATTAAAATTTAGCCCCATAAATTTGAAGGTCTGATTGGCTTTATTGAACGATCCCACTAGTAAATACAGATGTACTGCAGGAAGTAATAGAAAGTTAATATAGTATTACTTACCAACATAACTGAAAAATTACGTAAAAATAAGTGGAAAAGGAAGGGTTTCATAGTTAACTGGTTGGGGCAAGAAAAAAATATTTTAAAGAATAATTCCTGCCGAAACTGGTTCGGCTCAGTGGATAGAGCCTTGGCCTGGGTTCGATTCCGGTCAGGGGCATGTGCATTGGTTGCGGGCACATCCCTGGTGGGGGGTGTGCAGGAGGCAGCTGGTTGATGTATCTCATCGATGTTTCTGGCTCTCTATCTCTGTCTCTGTTTCCTTTCTGTGAAAAGTCAATTAAAAAATATATATATATATATAAATAATTCCTTATTGACAATAATAAGTCCCCCTCTTTACCCCAGTGATCCTCTCCAGCCCCCCCCCCCCCCCAAGTTGGGGCAAGAAAATTAACAGAAGAAGGAAGGATTGTTTCAGACAAGGTCACCTGACTGGTATTTTTAGACAGATTACCTCACTAATTTGTGATTATTTCCCCCTGGGCTGAAACTGCATTTTAAAAAAAATATATATTTTATTGATTTTTTTTTTACAGAGAGGAAAGGAGAGAGAGAGCGAGCTAGAAACATTGATGAGAGAGAAACATCGACCAGCTCCCTTTTGCACACCCCCTACTGGGGATGTGGCCGCAACCAACATACATGTTCTTGACCGGAATCGAACCTGGGACCTTTCAGTCCGCAGACCGATGCTCTACCACTGAGCCAAACCAGCTTTGGCTGAAACTGCAATTAAGACTTAATTTGCTATCTTGGGGGCTTAACATAATAGTTAGCATTTTTATTATTTTTGACAATACTAATCAGTATCTAAGTTGATAAGTATGAGTCTTCCAACTTTATTTATTCTTTTATAAATTGAATGTTAGAGTCAGGTTTTTATTTTTTTATTTTATTTTATTGAATTTTTTACAGAGAGGAAAGGAGGGAGAGAGAGTTAGAAACATCGATGAGAGAATCATCGATCAGCTGCCTCTTGCACAACTCCTACTGGGATTGTGCCTCCAACCCGGATACATGCCTTTGACCGGAATTGAACCCGGGACCTTTCAGTCTGCAGGCTGACGCTCTATCCACTGAGCCAAACCGGTTTCGGCTGGAGTCACGTTTTTAATTTCTGCAAAGAAATCTGGGATTTGGGCAAGGATTGCATAATTTGGAGAGTATTGCTACCTTAACAATATTAAATCCTCCAGTCTATGAATGTGGATTTCCCCCTCCAGTTATTTAAGGATTTGATTTCTTTTGTAATGTTTTATAATATTCAGAGTATATAGCTTTTATTTTTGTTTGTTTCAAAGTTTTATCTTTATTTTTAAATTCTCTCCTGAGGATATTTTTTTCCCATTGATTTCTAGAGAGTTGAAGAAGGAGGAGTGAGAGGGAGAAGAGACAGAGAAACATTGTAAGAGAGACACAGATTTGTTGCCTCCCACATATGACAAGTCTGGCAGGATTTAGCTTGGGGAATCTGCATGGGAGATAAATGCCCTTGACTGGGAATCCACAGTCTGGTGTTCTAACCACTGAGCAAAACCAGCCAGGGGAAGTCATTTTATTTTTTAATTTAAATCTTTATTAAATAAAAAAAAATGTGGAGTAAACAAGAAAGGAGCACAAAAATTGATTTGCATAGAAGACTGGTGATTGCTGCTGAGAAACTAAAACCAGAGGATGTGAATTTGGGGAACACACACTCATGCACAAAGAGAGTGGCTTGAAGGGCAGAGGACAGGACTCTTTAGAATTGGGACCACGCCCCAAACACCAATGTGAGGGGAAGCCATGATGAACTCCAGCTACTTCTCCCAAGAGAGTCCATCCAATGAGGGAGAGCCTGGGATAAGTGCATTCATAAGGTAGGTAACTGGAGAGCACCCAAAGCCTTAGCATCAGCATCACTCCAGACCTTCCTGGGGCCTAGTTCACAGCCTGGCCTCCCTTTGTTGTGCAGCTAGAGAATATTGGTACTTAACTGCCCCGGAGTCCTGATTTCCTCCATTCTGTGGTCACCTGCTATTGCCAACTCAAGGGTGCCAGTGCCTTTGTGATACTCTCAGGACCCACTCTACTGGTTTGGCTGAAAAGTCCTAACTTGTGGTGTTGAACCTTTTCTCTTAATATCTCAGAGTTCTTAATTTCCTTCTCTTACTGACACTTCATTTCTTCCAGTTCCTGAGTTATTTGGGATTTGACAGTGGTCTCAGAGAACTTGTAAAGCAGGACTTCTACTTTCACCTGCAAGAGATTGTTCAGCTTGCACAACCTCTGG